AGGACACATTGCTAAACTATTGTCATCTAACCTAGGATATTTCGAATTCTCTATGCTAATTGGATATAGATGCATGTTGAATTCTTCACTTAAGTCTACCAGTAATTGTATTTCAACCGCTTGGAATAAGTCGATCCATTTTCAATCGTAGTACCATTGAAAAATTACCAAATCAGGATGAAATGACATTCGATTTTATTATCGTTATCAACTTCTGATTTATCTTGATGACATTTTAGATCAATATTATGGTTTTTTCTTCTTTTTATTTCGCCTCTCGCACACATAATGTTACTTATTAGTACTATATCAAACATTTTTGGTTTTTTCTAATTTTATAACTACGATAGATAAGGATTATATTAAAATAGATTCACATAAAACAATAGAATAAATAACCTTGAATTGCATAAATTTCTTAAGGAAAAAATCGAAAGATATGCCATACACGACATAACATCAGTTCTGAATTACAACACAGAATATTTTCATATATGTGTATGGCAGCTATGATGTACACAAAATTTACTTTCCTTGTACACATATATCTACTAGTAGCAGCATGAGGGAAAATGAAACTATGGATATAATATTAAATTGCGCTTAAAAGTATAAACGAGTTCTATTCCCGTATGTTGAAGGATAATCAGTGACAAATACTTTCAAGGAACACGCGATTTGTTGCTAGAACTAATTTCACACACGGTCAATCTCCTTCTCAGATAAAACGCGTTTTCACAATGGTTCTTTTGTGCTTAAAACAATCATCCATAACTATATTCTACATTATGACCACACCTAAAGTTGTTCATATAAGATAATAGTGGAGGAATAATCAGCTCTTAGCTAATAAATTAAAAGATTCGTCAACAACTGCAAGAAGCTTCGATAAAAAAAGACTTGAAACATTTTTGTCATCATCGTCGAGCTTGATTTGGGGCGTACGTTTATGTTTAAACGAATAGGTGTTTTAAAAATAAGAAGATTATGAGTTTTATTTGCCTATTCTCAAGGTTACAGTTCCCTTTTTTATTATCATTGAATCGCAGAAGATATGAACATGTTTTTTTATTTCATCCTTGTAACACCTACATGTCTATATCTCTAGTTTCCCATATACATGCATGTATGTAATGTTCACACAAGATATCGTGCACAGTCAAATAGAGATAACAAACAAACTGGTTTTTTTCGTTCGTTTGCTTGTTTGTGTTTGTAGACAAGTGTAAATTTATGATCAATAATAGGATGATCAATTTAAATGAAATTAACAACTTTCCATGTGACAATTGAATGCTATAGCTTTGATATTTATATAGCAGAATGAACTACTGTCCTGAAAATCAAAATTCTGAATTGCACTTCGTCCATTTTTTTATGACTTATTGAACTCATTGTCTTATTTTTCTAAACTATCTAATAGGATAGCACGATAAAGAGATTTTGAATAGTTGTGTCAATAACGAAAGCACGATTATGAGAATACACAATATGTTTTGTTAGACAATAGAATACATGTCTACGCTATATGTTAACACAACTTACTTAAATTTTACAGTAATCTGATAGTTTCTTACCAGATTCATGCGAAAACATGAACTAACGAATTGTTCTACATGGATCTATGGCATTGAGAATTTCATAGACTCATCTAAGTCTTTAAAAACATTTTCTCTTCTGTCGGATACTTGTTGATATTTACAAAAACTCTGACGTCAATACTAGGTGAAAAACAAATATGAAATATACATGTTGATGATGAGCATATGATGTTTGTCTAAATTCATCGTTGAAAGGATCGTTTAAATCACTCAAACTTGACCAAAACATTTTATCTGGTAGACATTCAACAAATGTTTGATTATTTTCCTCAATTATCATTTTTTCATAACCAAATTCACATTCACACACATAAGAACCAAACGTATTTCGACAAACAATATTTTGCTGATGCCCGATGGGCTCTATCATTGTTGTAGCATTACAAATGTTCTTATATTCAAAACATTCATCTCTGTCTACACATGTTTGCAAATTCGATACATATTTAAATTTATCATTTTCACATGGACATGTATGATTTATTTGTGACCGTCGAATACCCTCAAAATACTGGTTATGATCAAAATTAACTGTACACTGTTCACCATGCGGATGTTTGTAACATGGATTTGGATGTTCACCACGTAAGTCAACAAACCAATTTTGTTCAATTAGCGTTTTGGGTTTTGTACAATCTTCCCATGAATTAGTAGTCACAAAATAATCTTTATGGTGTTTATGTGTCATCATTTCCCTTATATGTTCGCCCATTGAACGCTGAGCTATCGATACGCCAAATATCCGTTTTAAATT